ATATATTTATATATATACATTTTACATATGTGTGTGAATTATATTATGTATATTATATATAGTGTGTATGAAATATGATCTAATTTGCACTTTTGTTTGCAGACAGTGCAAACAAATAGTACACTATCTGTCTATGCTGATATATACAAAGTAAATAAAAAGTATAATGATAAAAAATATGACATGTACATTATTTATTCTGTACTTTCATAACCATATTTTAATGGCAGTAAATTCAAATGATTTTATAAATCACATATTTGCATATTCTATGACTTAAAGGTACCAATTCCCAAAGTAAAACATTTGGGTGTAAATGCAGGATGAAGGACACACATGATTATAACACTATCTGACCAAAGTAGAACATGGTAGCAACCTTATTTAGAATCATCATCATGTTTAGTATAAATGATTTATTGCATTATTAATTCTTATTTAGATATTTGTTAAATTTTAAAATATTATAATAAATTATTACTTACTTACTTGCAACGCAATAATATCCATTACCAGTAAAACCTTGTTTACATGAGCATGCATAATTTCCAGAAAAAGAATCATATGTGCAGTCAGCATCACTATGACAGTTATGAGCAAAATTACATGACTGTGTATCATCTACACAAATAATTCCATTTCCACGATATCCTTCACGACACTGACACTGATACTGCTGAGTTGCATCATTTAATATACACTCAGCAAAAGGATGACAGTCATTGTTAAAGCGACAATCTCTAGTATTTTGATTTTCTTCATCTTGGTAACATATGTATCCATTTCCATTATATCCTTCATTGCAGATGCAAACAGCAGATTGATTTTGAAGCTGAATACAGCTTGCATTAGGATCACACTGTATATCTGCACAAGTGTCCATTCCTTTAATTTAAAATATAAAAATTATTAAAATTTAATTAATGCATAGTTTCATATGAATACTGTATTAAGTTTTCAAATATGTAATAATTTTTATAACTAAGTTTTAGAAATATTATTTTATTTTTATTAAAATAGTACTGGACATAGGGTATATATAAAAACAAGCATGAACTTCTGATAATCAAATCACTAAACACTGAGTTAATTTTAGACTATAAATTATTGTTAATTATTGAAACAAATTTAATCAAAAGATAGTTATCATATTGTATTAATATTTACATTAATTTAAGAATATTCCAGAAGAAACATTGACCCAGAGTGGGACTCAAGTTTACATCTGTTTATCACATAGGTGTGCTGTAGCAGATTACATGTGATTCAGTTACATGCTATTCCCTTACAAAATTTGCTAACTGGGTCAAAGCTATTATATATTGGGGCAACTGCCAGAATGCTTTTCCTCTGTCTTGTGGAGCATTGTAAAGATGATGTGCATAATAGGTGTACAACAGAACTAGCTAAACAAATAATGAAGGATAAGTTTGATCTACTTTGGTCACAAACTTTATTTCTAAAATGCTGTGGGGACCAAAAACACTATTCATCTGGAATCTCTTTTCATTGTGTCAATGCCACCATGCAACTCCCCATGCTTGATATACCAAAGCTGTGGCTAGCATTGAATAAACATCTAAACTCTTACATTGTGTATTTCATGATAAAAAACATCTCATTTCATCAGTGGTGCTGCTATGTATAGGAAATCCTTGTTAATTTGAATTTGGATAATTCATAACTGTACTTTTGTCCCAGCCAGGGATATAGAGATTTACACATTAAGGAATTTGGTTAGTTTGAAATACAGCTACTTTGAAATTTGAAATGAAAATTCTGTCCAAACTATGATATGCATACATTAACTTGTTCATTTAGATTGAAGTGCATTCATACTGTAAGAGAACAGTAGACCAAGAACAACTCAAATCTGGTCAATATGGCTTTGCTTTTACAGTAACACATTTTCAGATGCCACCTTACACATGGATGATCCTTTTTTTTCTCTTATCTCATAAAATATAACTGGTTTTTGGAATTGCAAAATTGGGCTATGAGTAGCAGATTGAGATATCTGTAGGCTCTAGGCTACTATATTTGGGTGACTTACTACTTTTTGGACCACTTTAAAAATAATTTGGACTAAATTTCAAGGAATTCTACTTTACTTTTTATAAAACCTATCTGGCAGCATATGAGGTTCTCATTGGACATGTGCTGCTTACCTGCAGTTTATTTATATTATTATTATTGTTATTAATTCACAAAAATAGTATTCTGTCCTTAATAAATTACATGGCAATTGCATGGCTAGATGTGCATAGTAATGCTCACACTACAAGAAACAATGCTAAACTGAGCAGGAAAAAGCAAATTTGTTTTTGCAAATTTGCAGTGAGATCACATGGGCACACCAATGAAAACTGAGGCAAATTTTTTGTGAAAAAAATTGACGAAAACTGAAACCGACGATAATTGAAGTCAATGAAAACTGAGGTATTACTGTATATTGACATTTATGTAATTTAATCAGATGTANATATAAGAAATTATTAATATTCGTCTTGTTTGAATATAATTTTGAATTTGATTTAAAAGTGGGATTAGTATTAGTGACATTTTATATTAATTAATAGTTGGCTGGATGGCCTTTGTATAGATACCATCCCGCCTCCTGGATTTTAGTTTGGATTCAGAAACATCAAGTTTTTCGTGGATAGTCTGTCTTGTATATGTCAGAATCTGCCCCTCATCACTTGGCTGTTTCCATTGTAGGCCTGGCCAAAACAATAATGGACATGGAAAAAAGGTCATCTTAGTATCCAAAGGGTGGAAAGAAGAAGAAATTTTTAAAAATCATTTCATTATGAGTTAATTTTAGTAAATATCCAAAATATTTTTATGACCAACTCTTTCTATGCTATCTAGTTTGGAATTTTTTATACCTGTATATCAATTTTGCATATACAGGATAATGAATATTTCAAAAAATTCTATATGATATTTAATTGTTGAATTATTTTTTTATCAAATTCTGTTGTAATAGAAATAAATGTTTACATGATATATTATAAATTGTGTATGTCCCATGTTTTGGTAAAAGATCAAAAATTGAAAAATTGCAAAAACCAGTAAAAAAACATTAACAAGTTTTTTTTAAAGAAAATTGTTTATTTTTAAGTAAAAATTGCAATTTTGTAAAAATCACCCCCATTTACAATCTCAGTTTTGGGTCTAGTAAAAAAGTATAAAGTTTGTGTCAAAATAAACAAAGGTGAAAAGTTATTAACAGAAGATGAGGCTTTTTATAATGGAGGATTTGAAAGAATATATAAAAATAGCCTTCATTTACATATAAATTTTATTGTTCCATTTTGGGGTCCACTAAATAAATGATGATATAGAAATCTACATAGAAATAAACCCACATATTTTATGCTCAGTTATCAGCAAACTGCATGATATATGCTTTTTTAGAATTCTCACAATCTTTCATACCTCTGTATACTAATTTTAACTCTTGTATTTAAATGTTTTAACTTCTATCTGCTCAATTTTTTATTAAATCTGTGTGGAAGAAAAATTGAGTCATTCCACTCAGAATCCACTAAAACAACTAAGATCTTATTGACATGTTTAGTTGTTAACTGCTTAACTTCACATACAAGATATTCATAATTAACATCAAGTTTATTTAGTTTTCTCGTTGGAATAGTTTGAAGTGTACCAATCATATTTAGCTTTTTCAAAGTGTCCATGCATATAAGAATAACTTTATAATGACCTAATGCTAAAATGTGAATTCCATTTTCTTATATATATATATCTTATCATGCCGATATGAAAGAGCTATCTTCTTTACTTGCACCGAATATATTTCATGCTTAGTACTTCTAATTCTAATAAATCGATTATTAGAGAAATAAGTTGGTGTCATTTAAATTTGCCAATTGGTGAACAATTCGGGTTTTCGAACCAAATTATACATTTGATTGTAGAAGAAAAGTTCATGGTTTAATATTTAAAAGACCTGCAAATCAAAGATCTGAAGGATAAATAATGAAGTTCCAAATTATCTATACAGTACTAATATTATAAAGAGGTAATGTTTGCAAGTTTGGATGTAGCTGGTAATCTCTGAAACTACTCATCCGATTTCGAAAATTTTTTCACCAATATTTAGAATGGAACTTCAGGGTGGACATAGGCTGTATATTATTCCGGTAAACATTCATATAAATTAAAAGATATCATCTAGGTTAAGGCTTTTATGTCCAACAGATGGCACTATGAGTACGACACCCTAAGTTTGCTTTTCTGTGAAAATGAACTAAAGCGGATCATCTTCTATCTATCTATATAAATAATAATGTAATGTTCATTTGTTCCTACCAATTTTTTTGAAATTTTGACACAACGCTGCATTTGAATACGCACATGTTTTTATATAATATACATGTAGAAATTCCCTCCACTGAAGGGAGACAGTTAGGATTAAGGCTTAACATAAAGAACTCTGCTTCTATTTATACTATTTTAGATCCGGGTTTTTGCGTTTTTGATTGTGTTTCAAGAGAATGTACACTAAGAAGAAACTTTTCTAAAAATTTTCCGCTCCACGGGGGAAGTGTTATACATTTATAATAGATACATTTTGAGCCACAACAACGCATGGCGGGGTCTGCTAGTATTGAATATTTATATAAGTTATTTGGTTATAACTAAACATAGTAATAAGATCTTAGTTGTTTTAATCGATTCTAAATGAAACGACTCAAATTTTTCTTCCACACAGATTTAATAAAAATATAACATGTATTTTATTTAATGTTTTAACCTCTATATAAGAATTTAAATTAGTATACAGAGGTATGAAAGATTGTGAGAATTCTAATAAAGCACATATCATGGAGTTTGTTAATAATTGGGCATAGAACATGTGGGTTTATTTTTACGTTGATTTCTATATCATAATTTATTTAGCGGACCTCAAAATGGAGTAGTAAAATTTATATGTAAATGAGGGCTATTTTTATATATTCTTTCAAATCCTCTATTATATAAAGCTTCATTTTCCATTAATAACTTTTCACCTTTGTTTATTTTGACATGACCTTTACACTATTTTTTAACTGGACCCAATATGGAGATTGCAGTTTTTACTTAAAAATGGACTATTTTCTTTTTTAAAAATACTAATTTTGTTGTTATTTCTTTTACTGATTTTTGTGATTTTTTTTGATTTTTGTTCATTTACCAAAACATGGGGCAAAACTTTCATTTATACACTACTATCATGTAAATACAGTAGAATCTTGTTTTAATGTATTGCTCAGGTAGTCAAAAATTATCCATTGTTCTGAGAATACATTATATTGTGAACAACAGATTTCCCATATATTCAGGAAAATCTGTTGTTTGATAAAATTTTCATGTTTAATCTCCTACATATAATGCTAGTACTTAAAATTATTCAATCTCTCAAGATCTCTCTCCTTTAGGCTACAGAAACACATATGTTACAAGATCGCATAGCTCATTAGCATTTCACTCGACTTCACAATTTGTTAAAAAGTTCCTCTATCTTGGTTTGTTTTGATACCACTTTTCTGCTTATTAAATACAACAATTATTTGATATTAATGCCATGTACAATCTGTTCGTTTATGGTGAAACTCGTAAGAAAGGTCTTCGTGACTTGGAAAGACTCGATAGCCTTGCTAAATTTTGGCACTATATTTCGACCAGTGGCGGCTCCTCAATCATGTCAGCTTACTGACTCTGTGTGTACAATTCTTCAGTTGTATTGTATGTATCCCAGATATAACAAGTGCATCATCAAATTCTACAAATTCCCAGAAACACCCAAATATTAACTAAACATAGAAAAAAATGCAAAGTTTACAATGGATGGAGCTAGAAAAATCCATTATTCTGAGTTACAGATCTGCTAAAAGGAGATAAAATTATATTTATTTGGTGGGACCTGGAGAAATTTATTTAGAGAAATTCGTTGTTCTGCGATCTGTTAAAACAAAATTCTACTGTTTGTTTGTTTCTTGGTGATGATTGAATTACTTTATATTAATATTGTTTATACTTAATATTACAGCATATATATACTGTATATATATTTATTTATTTTGTTTTTTTTTCATTATAATACTCTTAATACCTTTAATAAAATATTAAAATTTAATTTAAACGATACAAATCATACAAGCATTATATAAACAATATACAATAGAGTCGAATCATCGATTATAATCATGGATATTGTAATCAGATTTCAGTTATAGTTATCATCATTAGATACTTAGGCATTTTTAAGCAGTTTTTTTCTCTATCAAGTTCAGCATGTGCTAATTAAGCAGAATTGTTATCAGTCTTAACCAATATTTTAAATTCTGAATAAATATTAAACAGAAAATGAACATGAACCTCAAATTCAGTGCATTTTCTATTTGGTATTCCTACTGTCTAGTTCTGAGATCAGAGATTTGAATGGGTATTGTTTTAATTTTATTTGCTTGCAGTATAGAAGTTTAAATTACTGGAATTTCTTCAATTATTTGCTGGTTTGAGTTACTAGTAATTAATAAATTTTCAAATTTCTAACTACTTCAGCAAAGGAGGAGTTAAAAAGCATGTGAATGTTTTCAAAGAAAAATATTTGATAATTTCAAATATAAATCTTTTAATTAATAATCAATAATTAAAATTTTATGCTATTAGCTTGTAAATAAATAATAATATTATTCTCTCAATTAAAACAAAAAAAAACTTGTCATTATGATATAATATCCAAATAATTTAAGATGATTTGGTATATACTTTTTTGAAGAATTATTTTTAAAACTAATTTTAATTTTTAAAAACTAAATGATGATAATTAATTACCAGTTGCTGGTGAACAGGTTTTTCCATTTCCAACATATCCATTATTACATACACATCTGTAATGTTCTGATTGAGTGTCATAGATACATTGAGCATTTTTGTCACAATTTTCTACTGTATTACATTCATCTGAAAAAAATTTCAATGGTTATTATAATTTATCACAAGATTCATGTATATGAGCTTTTAATTTGTAAAATATCATAACAATTCCTCCTATGTGTCAGTAGATTTTTGCTTAATAATAGTCATAATAGATTTTTTAGCATGAACTTCCATACAAATGGAAGCCTATGTATAAAATTAAATTAAAAGACTGCTAACTCAATAACTCAAAAACCAGCAAAAAGAACTCACTTTAACTCAGAAAATGTTTTCTTTCATCTTGAATGGACATTTTTTAACATATGGATTCCAATTTCAAATGTTAAAGTCTGCAAGATGTCCATTTAAGATGGAAGAAAATGTTTGCTGAGTTAAAGTGAGTTCTTTTTACTGGTTTTTGGGTTAATAGTCTTGTTGAAGTTAACCAGTATTTAGTAGTCATCATTTGCAACATGAAAACATACAGTAGATAACAAATAACATTTTTTTGGTGTTTGTTAATTTTATAAAACTTCATATATTTACATGAGAAATACATTTGCATGAAGAAGATGGGATGAGGATAAGAATAAACCCTAGATCACTTTTGTAATAAATACCTATTCTTAAATAAAAGATAACACACTAAGACAAAGACATTTCAATGAACTCTATTGTACTTTAGTGTATATGAATTGCTGGAAAAATGGCTAATATATTTAATTAGAACTTTTATAAAACAAGCTATCATTGACTGTAATAATTTTTATGTTCATGCTAAAGTTTAGTCTTTTAATATAATTAAATTTGTTTGCACGTAGAAGGCATTCTTAGATGATTTTAATATAATTATTTTATAACAAATTATAGGAGTTATTTGTTACTCAAAAACAGTTAATTCTATGACATTTACAAAATGATTACCTATAGCTCTGCAAGTAAGACCATCACCATCATATCCATTTTTACATTGACATACATATTTCTGAAGATATGAATCATATACACATACAGCATGTACTGAACAAACGTTAACAACGTCACAACTGACTTCATCTGAAATGTAAATAAGAATTTTCAAAAATCACAATTTGAAATTCTGTATTAAATTATTAATTGAACAAGTTAAAGGAAAATATTTTTTTATAAATTTTTTATGATAAATTTTAAATTTAATAGTTTGCTATTAAGTATATATTAGGTGAAAATTTTCAAGTAACAACTAACCAGTAGCCAGATGGATAAAATTATTGAACATCAGATAACACCTGACCAATGGGCTGACCAAATGGCATTTTCTGAATTTTCATCACAAATTAACACACAAATAAGGACACATCAAGAAAACTCCACAAAGGAAGCCCATTTATCAGGTGCAAATGTAGGACCAGCTACTAGTGTTTAAGTGGTTTTATCCACTTGGCCACTGGTGGATTTCTTATATCAATGAATAAAATATAAATTTATCTGTAAAATATAACTTTAAGATAAAATTTAAAAACTTCAATCAAATTTTATTAATAAAATAGTCTAATAATAATATATATTAGTATTAGAACTAAAGCCTTTTTAGGCATAAAAATGTGAAGTGTTTTGTTTAAAATGTTAATACCGTTGTCCCTCTATAGTCTGACGTTTTTTAATCCGACATGCTCAGTAGTCCGACGCACCTCCCGTCAAGGTACCCGTCCCCGTTACGTGTCTGCTTGCACAGAAGCATGTCGCGATGTGAATCTCCCCATCCAATTCTTACTCGATGACACACATTTTGTGTGTTTTATGTGAGCAGTTCTGTTCGAACAGTTGGAGTAGAGAATATTGTAAGTTACTGCTAGCAAAACAATGCGAAATATGTAATTATTTTC